CCTGAATACTCTTGCAAAGGCTTACTTCTCGGCCAGGCCGCTCCGGTCATCACAGGATTGTCGGCTAGCAGTGCCTACACCACGCTCAGGACAATCCAGACTCTTTTCATGCATCGTTCCACAAATGTGGAATGACCTACCAAGCACTACCAGAACCGCAGCTTCCTTTTCAATTTTCAAGAAACTCCTTAAGACCCTGCTCTTCAGAGAGCATCTTCTTAACTAGCACCTTCCCTGCACCCGTCCCCCCTCTCTACCGCCCACTCCTTTGTTCCCTCCTCTCCATGATTGATGTCAAGTTGTTGTTATTGTTGTTGTTTGCCTCAAGGGGAACATGCCAATTATCACTTGTAAGTCACTTTGGACAAAAGCGTCTGCTAAATACATAAACATAAACTAGGCTTCAACTTGAGGAGGCTGCCTCCGCATGGTCCTATTGCCTGCACTGTATCCAAGTGTTACAGTTTTGAGCGGTAAAATCTGATGGAAGACCGGAAAAAGGGCACTTTGGGCACTTCGGACAAAAGGGGCAGGTGCTCAAGCACCCTCTGCTCCCTTTGTCACGCCAAGAAGAGCACGGCTGCAGATTCACGCCTGCAGCAGCGAATCTGCGGGTCTGCAGCTGTAGACTATTCATCACGTCTTCCTCGTTCTTTTAAGGGCTGTGATGTGCTTGGATGAAAACATCTGCCTCTTTAGCTCCTAATCAGCTGATAACGGCTTCAGCACACCACGCTGCTGAATTAGTAACGCACGCATTTTCTTATCAGTAACGGAAATGGCATCATGATAAAAGAAGACGGTAAATAATTAGACTATTCGTTACTGAAAAAACAAATTTTTTTAGGGGTTGGCTAACAGTAAAGATGCAAAAACTGCCGTTGTTAAAAGAAATGTGTGGTAACTTAGCCCTCCCACTGTCCTAATGGGTGTGACCCCGCAAGAAAAGTTGACCATTGAGCAGGGTTGATGGTTTATCCCTTGGGTCCATGTGGCAGGAGTGGGGAGTGAGCACAACCTCACCCCTGCCACATGGACCTCAAGGGATGTTGTACCTTAACAAAAATCTCAATAAAAAGAAAATATAAAAAATAACTCTACAGGTGACCAGCATGACTACAGCCTCAGATGGGAGCCAGTTGGTTGTGCGAGCAGGGTACCCCGTGATAGGGTGACCAGATCCCAACTTGCCAAATGTGGGACAGAGACTAGTCAATGTGGGACAATGTGAAGTTCCAATGTAATGAGACAAAAACAAAGAAAACATATATACTGCCTTTTAAGTCTAACATCACTGTTACATATACATAAAATTATTATTCCTATTGTAATCATCATATATTTCTTATATATAATTTATTTGAATTCAACATGAAGAAGCATACAGCAATAGCTTTACTATTTCACAGTTCCTCTCACATTACCACAACATAACACTGTAGTGGCTCTGATCATTTTAATAATACAGATAGGCCCACAATTATAAACACATGCAGGTTTAAGCAGCTTTGCAGAGTTTTCATTGAATGCATTCCACAACAGAATGACAGTAAAGTACCAGTAATATTTTTTAGATCTATTTATGTTTGTTTTTAACGAAATTTCCACTAAAATCAGCATCTCATAGAAAAAAGATCCATACTTTTTAGCTATTTTTTCATAATTCAGAAACAAACGTTTTTTTAACATGACAACAAATCTCTTCTAGATTTTAGGTGAGAGAATAAACATCAGATTCTAATCTCTAAACATTTCAGATAATAGTTTCTTAGAGTCACTTTTTGCCTCAAATGTCTGAGAATAAGTGATGAAAGCTTCCAATTACTCTCATTATTTCTTCACTGTGCTTTAAGGGCTCAGCATGTATCTGAAACCGCAGCACCTTGTCTGTGTTAGAGCCTCCATTGTGTTTATCATGGACCTGTCTAATTACAGGAAAACCTGCTTTTGACCTCTTCATATTAGACTCCGCACCGAGACATGAAAGAACGACTCAGAAACAACACTCTGTCGAGTATCTCTGAACACATTTAATTCACAAGTTTACAGCTTTTTCTCCTCCGTGCTCGCTCATGCTTGTTTTGGTGGATCGGGCACGCTCCGGATCTGCGTTTGATTGACAGTAACAGGCAGATTTTTCCACAGTTTCTTGTATAAGATTGAAACTTGAAATGAGAAAACTGTCAATAATGCGGGACACGTGAAAAGTAATGAAAATGCGGGACATCTGGTCACCCTACCCCATGGTCCCTGGAGCCCTTCTTAGCTTCTTGGGTTAGCTAGTAGCTACATTGGTTTCATTTATTCCAACCTGTTCCAAACATAATAGCCCTACTCTCAACGCCACCTCTTTTAAAAAAGAATCAGTGGTGGAAACCTCCTATTATTGGCTTCCGTTTTCCCACCATCTGAGCAATGGGCGGGCTTTGTCCATATTTTTATATGTCGATGAGAGGAACACAGGGTTTCCCTCGTGAGCTGAGGTTGTAGTGTGAACAAATATGGTGAATTAAGGGCATTTCTGTATGTAAATGACTGTGAACAAACACACACCTGGGTATGCACAGGTTGGATATATCATCTGACAATTGAGGAGGAATGTGCATAGCACAGTTTCTACAAAGTAGAAATGTGGTATCTGCTCACAAATCACCCTGGATTCTCAACAGTCAAATCGGTGAACTCACAGAGGATGTGAGTTCACCGATGAGGTTTTATGCAAGGAGATAGTTATCGTTCTTATCTCAACTCCTTTTATGCAAGGTTTGAAGTGCAACACCTATCCCCCACACCCCCTACTGCACAGGTTTCTTCAGCCACTCTGGTGTCACATGCCTCCCCCACCACCTTCACCACTGTGAATAGTACAGTCCCTGCTGACCACCCCTCCCCCTCCATTGCCATCTCAGTGAAAGAAAAGGATGTGCTCAGGGTTTTCCGTAAGCAAAACCCTCGGAAATCCCCGGGCCCGGACGGTGTCTCCCCCGCAACCCTGAGACACTGCGCAGAGGTACTGTCTCCAATCTTCACGGACATCTTTACCATCTCCTTGGAGTCCTGCCATGTTCCAGCCTGCTTTAAGCTGTCCACCATTGTTCCTGTGCCTAAGAAACCCCATGTCACTGGACTGAATGATTACAGGCCTGTGGCGCTGACGTCTGTAGTCATGAAGTCTTTTGAGCGCCTGGTCCTCCCTCATCTCAAGTCCTTCACCTCCCCCCTCCTGGACCCTCTGCAGTTCGCATACAGAGCTAATAGGTCTGTAGACGACGCCATCAACCTGGCCCTCCACTTCATCCTGCAGCACCTGGACTCCCCGGGAACCTACGCTAGGATCCTGTTTGTGGACTTCAGCTCTGCGTTCAACACCATCCTCCCTGCTCTGCTCCAGGACAAGCTCTCCATGCTTAACGTACCCAATTCCACCTGCAGGTGGATCACTGACTTCCTGACCCGAAGGCAGTGCGTGCGGCTGGGGAAGAATGTCTCCACCATTCAGACAATTAGCACAGGATCCCCACAGGGCTGTGTACTGTCTCCTCTGCTCTTCTCCCTGTACACAAACTGCCGCACCTCGAGCCATGACTCTGTTAAACTGATCAAGTTTGCGGACGACACCACTCTCGTTGGGCTCATCTCTGACGGTGATGAGTCCGCCTACAGGAGGGAGGTGGAACGGCTGGCGTACTGGTGCTGCAGCAACAACCTGGAGCTCAATGCTCAGAAGACAGTGGAGATGATTGTGGACTTCAGGAAAGTCACAGCCCCATCTCTCCCCCTCGTCCTGACGGACACCCCCGTCACCACTGTGGACTCCTTCCGCTTCCTCGGAACCACCATCACACATGACCTTAGGTGGGAGCCATCCATCAGCTCCCTGATCAAAAAGGCCCAGCAGAGGATGTACTTTCTGCGGCAGTTGAAAAAGGCCAAGCTGCCGACCCAGATGATGGTGCAGTTTTACACGGCCATCATTGAGTCCATCCTCACCTCCTCCATCACTGTGTGGTACGCTGGAGCCACGGTGAGGGACAAAAATAGACTGCAGCGCATTGTGCGCTCCACTGAGAAGGTGATTGGCTGCAGCCTTCCATCTCTCCAGGACCTGTACGTCTCCAGAACTCGGGGGCGTGCAGGCCGGATTGCAGCTGACCCTTCTCACCCGGGACACAGACTTTTTGAGCCGCTTCCCTCAGGCAGGAGGTTACGGTCCATCCAGACCAGAACCTCTCGCCATAAGAACAGCTTCTTTCCATCTGCCGTTAGACTTGTGAACAGCTTATAAATACACAACCATGTTCATCTGCTGTACTTGACATAACGTCACGTTACCGGCCATATTACCATTACCTGCCTTTTTCATAGCTGAATGTTTTATGCTAGTTTTATTATATTTTATTCTACTTATTCTATTTCTGAAATTTATTATTCATGTTATATGTGGCACATTAGTACCGAAGCAAGTTCCTAGTTTGTGAACTGCTTGTTCATTGACAATGGCAATAAACCTTTTCTGATTCTGATTCAGATTCTGATGTGTTCCCTCTCGAGATCACGCTCTGGCAAATCCTCCAGTAACACCAGATAGGCCATGTTACAGTGTCAGATTCTCATCGGTCAGAGGCAGTGTTGTGACACAATCTTAGCTGCCTCAGATGTAAAACAAAAATCCCCACACTGGTTTCATTTATTTACTTAATTGATGATCTGAATGCTGTTTATATGTACTGAGTCCAGAGAATGTAGTTAAAAGTCTAGAGTTCTGATGAGAATTAAAAAGAGAGATCATATCTCTCCTGTCTTGGCTTCCTATATTGGCTACCTGTTAAATTCAGAATAGGTTTTAAGATCCTCCTTCTCACATATAAAGCTCTTAGTAACCAAGCTCCATCATACATCAGTGATCTGATTATTCCATACGTTCCTAACAGAGCACTTCCCTCTCAGACTGCAGGTTTACTGGTGGTTCCCAGAATATCTAAAAATAGGATGGGAGGCAGATCTTTTAGTTATCAGGCTCCTCTCTTGTGGAACTAGCTCCCAGCTTTAGTCCGTGAGGCAGACACCTTGTCTATTTTTAAGACTGTTTGATCGTATTACATGGTTAGATTCTGATGTTAGCCCAGATCTGGAAGAGTGAGGGAGTAGAGAGAGGTGGAAAATACAATCGGTAAAGACGGCTCTCCCTTGCCCTGCCTCCAACATGCCTTTATCTAAAAGGCTAGGTTATCCAGAGTTATCCCTGTAGTTTAGGCAGCTATAGGCTTAAGCCCCTTTCACACTAGCATCAGCTTCACATGGACTGTACAGCATAAAGAGTTTCTACATTAGCGTAGCCTGCCTTTTTTCAGGGTGTAACCAGACTGTTTGTCAGCCCTCTTCCTGAGGTGGTCTGCTTCAGGCTGACCAGGGCCAACACACCCACTGCTGACTGATAAGCCAGCACAAATTCACACCTTCCATTAGGGAAGTTTCCGATTGGTGGGTAGAATCAGCCCACCTGGGCTTATGGCATTATCATTCTGATAACAAACTTGTTCCCAAGGCCACCCCGTTAAAACCCACAATTGAATACTTAAGTCGCCAATGGCAGTGAGTGGTTGTATTTAAAATAGCGACTTTAATCGTCAATGGTAGTGAATGACTTAAGGTGGTTTAATAGAGGTGATTGGACAGACAATTGTGTTTCTTTAAATGTCAATTTTGCAAACATCTTTCCCTGCAATCTGCATTATAACTATCATTAGTAGTAGTAGATGTTGTGGTAGTAGTAATATGATCAGTAAAACAATCATCATTTCAGAACAGCAACCTGCCAGGCAAAAGGCCACACTAGCAGCTAGCTTTAACAGCGGTAGAGTTTTATAATCTGTACATATGATAGAGCAGCCATGATGGGAGTGGGAGAACCAGAAGAACTGGGTTGGAATCTCAGCAGCTGAATCATAATGCTTTCTATTTTTTGGGTAACATGCACACCAGCTGTGAGTGTGAAAGACATTCATTCACTTTTAATACAATATTCCAAATAGAAATATGCAAAATGTCCCTACAGTCTTTGAGACAAACACACTTTGAGACTAACACACTCTGCAAGCAGAACAAATGTCTCCATTGTTAAAACAGTTTGACAGTCTGTGATGAGATCTCTCTGGAGTCGAGTAATATCAGAGACAGCAGAGGAAGTCCAAAACTTGGAGATCCAGCTGATGAGAAGACAAAGTGTGTGTGTGTTTAGGATGAGTAGGGCAGCGTTGTGGAGTGTGTCAGGTGTGTGTGTGAGTTAGCTGGGGCCAGTGTGGTGCGACGTTCAGCTGACAGGTGTATGGACAGTAGCTCGTCCTCTCTAGGGTCTCCTGCAGACAGAGCAGAAAGAGACAGGTTAAAAGCAAGTCCAGGTAAAATATCTGAGCAGCTCCAAAGAGGTTCTGCCACCTCGAGAGTGGTGCCTGTGGAGTAGACTAGTGGATTATGGGTCCAGGTTGCACTCCTAAATCTCCTTTGACAATTCCATAATATTGGAGACATGGATCTGGTCCTGAGTTGAGGCTCAGATTGAGGTGGATCTATGTGGTTTTGACCCTGGTTGTAGAACGCCGGAGCACCTTGCAAGGGGGCACTGTACAGGGGTATGGGGTCAAAGGGGTGAGAGATGGGCAAGTGGGATGCAGCAGTGCCTGCAGTGATGTGGACACTGAATGAGTTCCATGGTTACCACAGACAGAAGAAATATTTTCCATCATCCATCCATCAAACCATTCATCCATTCTCATCCGCTTATCCTGTGTCAGGTTGGAGGGGCAGCAGTCTAAGCAGAGAAGCCAAGACATCCCTCTCCCCCGCCTCTTGGGCCAGCTCCTCTGGAGGAATCCCAAGGTGTTCCCTGGCCAGCTGAGGCACATAATCCCTCCAGCATGTCCTGGGTCTTCCTTTAGGTCTCCTCCCTGTTGGATGTGCCCAGAATACCTCACCAGGGAAGCATTCAGGAGGCATCCTAACCAGAAACTAATTTCAACTGCCTATATGGTAAATGGCCTGCATTTGTATAGCACCTTCTTAGGGTGGACTATGCGGTGGCGCAGTGGTTGGAGCTGTTGCCTTGCAGCAAGACGGTCCTGGGTTCGCTTCCCGGCCTAGGATCTTTCTGCATGGAGTTTGCATGTTCTCCCTGTGCATGTGTGGGTTCTCTCCGGGTACTCTGGCTTCCTCCCACTATCCAAAAACATGACTGTTAGGTTGATTGGTCTGTCTAAATTGTCCTTAGGTGTGAGTGTGTGTGTGCCTGATTGTTTGACCTGTGTGTCTCTGATAGGTAAAAACTAAGGCTGTAGAAAAGCCTCGATGACGTCGACGGCTCGATTCTAAAAATTAGTCAACGTCAGATCCGGTAGTCGATGCACCACGCCCACTTGTTGCATCCCCAGGAGTTTGTAAATAGAGGAGGAATCTGCCTGTTTTTCCTCTAGTTCGCCCTCTTCTCCACCGTCACTAACATCTCCACCAAATACCGAAGACCCGGAACAACGTCAGTCCACTACTAGATTCCTTTCCTGTTTTGCCCGCCTTCGTCTCCCGGCAACGGACAACAACTTCCGGGGTCAGATGCGCTGCTCAGTCTCTATCGCAGATGTAGAGAATCACCGGTAGAGTTTCTCCCTTCATAAAGGAGCTTCTTTCAGACATTAGGAGAGCTGTTTTGGTGGTAGCAGTCTCTACTCAGTGCTGGTTTGTTTGCTGCTGGGTATTTTGGTTTATTTAAACTTGGTAACTTGAACTTAACGTTGGTAAAGCTACTGTTAGCATTTTCGCTAACAGCTTCTTGCGTTTGGATAAGCTGTTATGTTTTGGTTTAGAGCTCATATTTTTTGGTGTGTAGATCTCCCTTTTATTACATTTAGAGTGTTGTGGGTTTTCGGTTTAGTGTAAAATGTCACCTTGAGTTTGGTTTAACCACCCAGTTTAGATTTTGGACCTTTGGAGATCCTTATTTTGGTCCAGAACCCTGTAATCTTTGCCCAGTGGGACATCCCTACTTATTTGTACTTTTGTTTTAATTCCCCACAGGCAGAGTTAGTTTTATTATTCCCAACCTGTGGATGGAAAGATGCATGTTTTTTTGTTGTTGTAAATAAACCTGATCATCATTTGAACTTTTAAATCCCACGATATTGTCCCTTCCTTTTTGCACACGAGCCAAACTCCCCAGGAAGGGTCGTAACACCACTCGCCTCACGCACATAAGTGGCCAAAACAAAGCAGCATGGAGACACTCCATCTCCAACCACCTCTCAGGCAGCAGCCTGCACTCCCAAGTTCTACATGTCACCAGAACATAACCAACCGCAACACAATAAAAGCAGTGTTACACAAAATGGAAGGCCTGTAGTGTTTATTCTCTTACAGTAACAGTTTATCTTTTTTTTTTTGAGGATTTTATTTGAGATTTTCAGTTTTTTATTAACTGTGCAATAGAAAAATAATCATTTGATTAATTGTGTAAATAGTCATTAGAATAGTCGACTATTTGATAAAATAATCGTCAGAATAATCATTTTAAAAATAATCGTTTACCCCCAGCCCTGGTAAAAACTGATTTTCACCTCACCTTGGTAATAATTTGTCTGGTGTTGTTCTTTCAAACAGAGTTCATCCGACTTATTTACATTTAAATTGTTGCAGGAAGGCCGTCCTCGCCTCAGTGCTTTTTATTATGATTAGCAGTTCCTGAGAAGGCTAAAAGCCAGACCAATGTGTTCTTCTCTCGGTTGTCTGTAAAGAATTTGTGTGTGTGCTTATCTTTAACTTTGTGTGTGTGTTCCCAAATAAATTGACTCTCCAGGCTTGCCTGAGTTGTGAGAGGAAATAGCCTTGACTTTGGTGTGTATGATTCTCTCACCCTTTGCAAAGTATTTTGGTGTTGTTTGTTGTTGGTTGATTACTATTTACCAAATTATCAGTCTAATCCCTCTGTGTGTTTTGAACTTTCTTTGAGGTAATACAAGATCTATAAAAATGACCTAACATTTTGGTGCCGAAACCCGGGAGACAGAGCCTTCAGTGGGAGTTCACCTTCGGAGAGCCGCACGGCGCCAATTCCTCATCAAAGCCCGGGGAGCTGGATTGCTCCATCGGCCGGCTGTTTAGCTCTGCAGGCGGACTTCCACCTACAGCTCTCGCTCACCGGACTCAGGGCAAATCCGCCATGCAGAGGGAAAGTGAGTACCTATTTAAATGCACCCTTTTGTACTGACTGGTTGGCTGTGTGTTTTACGCTGGTGGTGTGTCTGCCACCCTCGCACGAAAGACATTTCGTGCCCCGGCCGAGGGCTGCACGGAGAGCCGCTGGACCATAGCCTGGGCTCTGTTTGCCTCTGTTCTGAGAGAGGTAAACTGGAGAGAGGTTGTAATTAGTTTGTGTCAGCGTAACACAGGCATCCTACGAGGTATAGTGGGCCATAATTTGGTTGGATGTGCAGATCACTTGTGTAATCACACTGATGCTTGTATTGTTTAAATATTTCATGGTGCAACAGAGGTACCCAAAAGTTAATCATCATTATAATTGGCTCAAGGAACCCAAACCGTTCTAAATTCACCCTTTGTCGTTCTGTGGTCTGTGTATTTGTGGGCTGCGTCCCATTTTGGGGTGTGCAGGCTTGCCTGATCTCCGTGGTCCTGTGGTGTTGTTATCGTTCGTTGCTGGTATCTGAAATAGTGGTGTCGGCTGTCCCATTGCAGACATCGTATTTCTGTGTTGCATTGTGGTTTTAAATCTGTGCCAAAGTGTTAAAAACCTGGCTGTGAACTTTGTTTCAGCTGCTGTCCTATTGTGTCTGTGTGTGTGTGTGTGTGTGTGTGTGTGTGTGTGTGTGTGTGTGTGTGTGTGTGTGTGTGTGAGAAAAACCTGCGGGTTCTGTTCGGTTCTGTTCTGTGTGCGTATGAGAAAGTATGAACTGAGAGATACTGAAGAAAGGAAAAAGGCAAGTGTGAGATTGTTTGGCTAAAGTTTTGAGGCTTTTGAGCCTGTTTCTGGTACGGGTGTGTGTGGAGGTGTGCGTGTATCGGGGACTTTGAGAGTGTGTGTGTCTCAGTCAGGGGCTCTGAGTGTGTGGAAGACAGAAGCGGAGGAGTGTTGAGTCGCTTCAGTGGCTGCCAAATCTTATCTGAAAAACCATTTTAATATACACCTCAACTGCAGTTTAATTGATTTTCTGATAATTTTCACATTAAAATCCTTGGCGTGCTTCCAGCTTGTTTTACTAAACTAGTAAACAAAACAACTTAAATACAATGGGGAATACCACATCTAAAGACAAACTGGAGGGAGATATGAAATTTATGTCTCATAAACACCCAGATAGCTTAAAATTTATGGAAAAATGGTACAAAAAGTACAAAATCGATGGGTCAGCAATGGCATGAATTGGTCAACATTTACACACTTGAAGTTGTGTTAGCCACTGGCAAAAAGAAATTAACTAAGGAAGAACAGTTGAAGATAGCGACGATATGGCGAGATGAGACAGATAAAAGACTGGAGAATATTCGAAAAAGTAAGGAGGGAAAGAAGGGAAAAGAAAGTGAAGCAGGGAAAAGTGTATCTGTCCTAAGTAAACTAACTCCTTCAGCTCCGCCGGCTGAATTTATGCACCCAATTAAACCCAGAGAACAGTCAGAGAAGTGGGTCTCAGATATGATGGAGGTGATTTACTCCCACTGCTTAATTGGCCAAGGATTAGACCAGCTGGCTCAAGCGAGCCTTCTCAAACCTCCCGCGACTGGACAAATGGCTGGAGACTTAAAACCCCAGTTTGACATTTTGGAAACTCCTAACTTAACCCAATTAACAACTATTAAACAATAGACTGATGAGTTCGTAGATGATTTCCGTGCCAGATATAAAAAAACTATTTCACCTCCATAGTACCCTCACACCCGACGCTGATAAAGATGGACCTTATGTCCAAATGTGCTGATTTGTTGAAAGGTTTCCTGCCTGCAATTGCTGAAAAAATCAAAACTCACTACATTCTCTGGGAAACCTGCAATTAGGGATGTTAAGAACACACACACACACACACACACACACACACACACACACACACACACACACACACACACACACACACACACACACACACACACACACACACACACACACACACACACACACCGTTTCAGACGAGTATCCGGTACGGATAAAGCATTTTTGACGAATACGAGTGTGACGACCCTCGTCCCCTCGGTCCGTCCTCTCATCCTAGTCTGAGCCTTTTGTCCCCGCTGCACGGGATCCAGCACCAGGGACAGCGCCAGGAGCGGCCAGCTCACACTCTCCAGCGCTCCAGCGCCCTTT